CTTTTAGCCTTGAAATGCTTGGGCACCGGTATGTGCGACCCACCTTTGAGCGGCATGTAGTTCGCTATGTCGAGATAAATGGTGTTGATTTTGTCTACCACCCATCCAGAGCCCAGGTGGGTATATCTCTCCAACGACTCTTGTATTTTCTGCAACGACGCGTCGATGGAGGATTCAATCAATTCTGGTTGGGTTAGGGCTTCCTGTTTGCCTCTGAAATAAGGTGCAACGCATCAGTACTACCGTCCGTATTCTGTTTTGGAGCTCCATTTTCATCGTTAGTTGGTACTTGATGCTTTTCAAGTCGCCTAGTTCTTCGCGGAGTTTACTAGCAATGGGGGTTTGACTGTACTGGTATCAATATTGGAATCAACTGTCATTATCCAACCCCGGAGATACTTACCCACGGCGTGCTCCGTCTGCACAAATCTCAACTCGACTGGCCTGGTGTCTTCCAGCAAGGTGACCAGCTCGGCTCTTCTCATGCGGGAATAACCCTTCAATCCCCGTTCTTTAGCACGGAGTTTGAGGTCTCGCACGGTAGGGGGCTTGGTATATTTCATATCGAGCAAGGTGAGCAGTTGGGGTTTCCTAAAGCTGGAATAACCCGCCAGTCCACGACTTTTGGCGAGAGCTTTGAGTTCTGACGACAGTAGTCATGGTGTATACCATATGCGGAGCCACATGTCTAATAGGCGTTTTCAATGTGCAGATAATCCCGTCAGCCTTCAAAAATATGAATCACCCTTAAACTTTCGGGTCCTGAGCAGCCCGGTTACGTTCGTTGAGGTAGTCTTTCTTCTTATTGTAAATAAGTTGGTTTGAACTTCGTCCCTCCCATGGTCTTTGCACAGCCCATAATGTCCTTTGACCCCTATGCCGCATACTTTGCATATCGTAATTGACATGACCCTTTCTCACACAGTGGGCATGCGGTGGCAATATTCAGTCATACAGCGTTTATCGCAGGCTGTCGGTTTTGCCGAAAGCAATACCCATTTGCAATAATGGGTTCCCACGGGCCACATGTTGTATACCTTATGCGGAGTCAAATGTCTAAATGAATGTTACTACATGCGGAAGGGGTCCGGGGTTTGGGGCTTGGGTGTTGCTGGGGAAACTGGTTTGCTATGCTTCCAGGTCTTGTGGATGACCTTCCAGAGTAATACGGCAGCTATCGAAACATAGGTTAACTTTTGGGCTGATTCTACCATCTCCCGCACCTTCTGGACACCCAGACGGGTGTCTTCTTGTTCCTCTTCTATTTCTTCCAGGACTTCGTCATTGTCATCATCCTTGTCCAACCTCGATAGGATGTCAACCAACAAATTCGACGATGTATTCGCGGTTTGCTCCACACAAGTCTCGAGACTCCCCAGGCATCGTAGAAGTCCTGGATGGTTGGTAACGATGATACCAGGTATTGTTACTTTCGATCTATCCCGAAGTCACCTTTTGTGGTTAGATCAACCGCAACGATACTTGTTGGTTGTCGCCTGGCAACGATACTTCTGGTTCTTCGATTGGATCTCTCCATATGTCGTAGAGTCTTGTGGACCCAATACCGAAGCGCTTTTTGACCTCGCTTGCTGGGAGCACCCCTCGAAGGGAACGTATTTCTTTGATCTTATCCGAAGGTAAATCTCTTTTTGGTGGCATGGTTGTTTTTCCTGGGCATATATATATCCATACTTCCTATATACCTATATGGGGATCCCAATCCTCTCCCAGGAATCCCAATCCTCTCCCAGTAATCCCAATCCTCCCAGGAATCCCAATCCTCCCAAGGAATCCCAACCTTTCCCAGGAAACTCCTAGCAATGCTTATCAAATGCTTAGCAATGCTTAGCAATACTTAGCAATGCTTAGCAAATGCTTAGCAATACTTAGCAAAACAAGCAAACTTCTAGGTTCTGTCTAGTGTACCCCAGTATGTCTAGTGTGCCCTAGATTCCCATATAGACAATATTTTGCGAATGTAGATATATAGTACAACCAAATGCCCCCAAAACGACAACTATCGCAAGCCCAAGTGGAGGAGATTCGCAAGCTGCGTGGAAAAGCCCCAGCACAAGAAACTAGACAACGATTCGGCATCGGTTCCAATCGACTACGCAAAATATGGAATACAGCCCCTGGAGGGAAAGCGTCGACCCCCCGCACAGACGCAGCCACTAGCGAGAGCGTATTGCCCGCTGCAGAGCCGACTGTGCTCCCCGTCCAGGACTTCTATGAATGCTTGGGGAGGCTTGTGTGGAGAAAACTGCGGTGATGTGGGGTACATCGAATGGTGTCTCTGCTCGAAAACGTAGAGGTGCATGGGCTGTACATCGAATGGTGTCTCTGCTTTCGAAATCGTAGAGGTGCATGCCAGGGGTTTGCGTTGTACATCGAATGGTGTCTCTGCTTGAAATCGTAGAGGTGCATGGGCTGTGCATTGAATGGTGTCTCTGCTCGAAGTGGAATTGGTATATAATGACACTCTTAGTCGGCCTGTCACAGAATCCCATTCTATGACCGGGGGTAACTGGTGGCTGCTTAGCATCCGGCACCGTCTGCGGCTTGGGGACGTATTGCAGTCCTCGTTCCCGCCCGGGGGTTTCCGAAACTCATGGTACCCTACAGATTTTAAGGCTCTTATAGGGGTCTGGGATGTGCATCGAATGGTGTCTCTGCTCGAAATTGTTAATTTATACTGGGGGCTGGAAGCGGAATAGATATATAATGACGCTCTTAATCGGCCTGTCACAGAACCCCCATTCCCTATACTACTATCCTCCCTCACCAGATGTGCCAAGTCCATCTGCCATTATTGTGTTATTCACAATAATAGAGGTGTTGAAATCCATAAATCTTGCTTTTCTTATGCATTCCACTTCTAAATGCCCTTCAAAGATTTGCAGTAAAACAGTTATTATCCCTTACAATTGCCTGTAATTGATAATTGAAAGTTCCAGGCGAACAGCTTCCAGGTAGGAAACACTTGCCATATATGGAACTTAAACAATTGCTCCTTACATCGAAAACTGATGCATGCGGTGTTGTGGGTCTTTGCCGAACTGGTGTTCAATCACTGTAGTATTACAGTATATTAGTAAACAGTGCTCCAAGGGACATGATTCTAAGGGGTTCATAGTTGCATAAATTCATTTTAACTTTTCAATTCATATTGTAATCTAAATACATAATTTCTTTCGGAATAAATTTATACAAACCTGTAGAGGTTATGAATTCTTTGAAGAAAGTCCTCCTTGGGGTACATATAAGCATTTAAATGTCAATTTAAAATCCCACGACAGTTGTAACTATATTTTTTTAATAAAATATTTACAAAACAAAAAACTTGTTTTTGTCTTGTGAGACCACCCCTACAGGGCCGCCTCGGGGCCCCCTACAGCCAATGGAGTGATAGGTGTCACAAACCATACCTAACTCCCTTTGACTTTTCTGACCTATATACATTTTCTAATATTCATTCCCGATGTTAGATTATATAATGAGAATGTATAAACAGCTGTTACCTGACAGTTTTGAAATTACAGAGGGTTGGTATCGTTAGGTATATGTTCAGGGATATGCGCATATATACATGACTGTAATATCCAATGTACTTAGCATTATGCGATGATAGAACTGTTTTCTACAAAATGTATTCAGGATTAAACTTTATTTCTTAATACTTTCAGGCCAAATAAAACCATTTGACACTATAAGTGTTGATACAGACGTGAGTCATATAGGGTCTGATTTCGTTACAAGGCCCATAGGCGAGATTTTCTCGTCGCAGACATTGAAATAATATAGGACGTGTTATAGCGAGCGATTCATTGCGTTCGCTTAACGAAGGGTGTAATTTAAGATAGCTTATTAGCGCATTACTATGTTTCATCATGTCTTGAAACTTATTTATTATCTCCGATTCACGTGCCATGGAATGTCATGTCAGGAAGGTCGCATGGTTACGTGAAATGCACGCTTTTCAAAATATGGCATGGCTACTACGCTTAATGACTATGTATCTTTTTCCATGAATGAAGGCTCGGGTTGTGAATATCGTGAGTGCGTCAAAACAAACACCGGTTCTTTCAACTTGCTGACCTCATGCCTTCATTTGCATCGATGTGCATGATTAAATTAACCCATGATTTAAATAAACCAATCAGCACCTAGCACGCACGTTTTCTAAATAGGTTTATGAGCGCTCGCTTTTCTAAATATGGTAGTGGTACTATGATAATTACTGTGCATTGTTTTTCGTTAATGAAAGCTTGGCTCATTAATTGCAAGAGTGCATAAAAACAAACACCTGTTCATTAACCTTTCTGACCTGTGACGTCATGCCTACATTTGCATATTAATGAGTTATCGTGCATAAATAATTAGGATTAAATTGACACCTATTCATGTATATTTACTTGGCTCCTATTCATATTATTTCAAAACACATTCCGATCCAGGTGAGTCATCTCGTTATATACAGATGTTACTTAACTCTTTACTTGCTAGGGTTAAAAGTTCAGCTCATGATATGTGAGGAATTTATGGAATGTGCTCCACTAGCTCCACAGGTACCGGTATGTAAGGCTGCTCCACAGGAATGTGTGGAGCTACTCTTCAGGAATGCTATTGTTCTCGTCAGGAATGTTATTGTTCTCCCCTGGAATGTCTTTGTACTCCAAGGAATGCTATTGTGTCCGGAACTGGGTAAATATCTACTACTTGTACCTACACCAATGATCAAGCTAAGCTTTGAAGGTACCTGCCGAATGATCAAAATAGCTTTTAAAGTGCCCACCCGTTTAATCAAGTAAAGCTTTAAATCCATCTACCCGAATGATTTAGTTCAGCGATGAACGTACCTACACCAATGATCAAGTAAACCATTAACAGTACCTGCCAAATGATCAATTATAGCTTTGACAGTACTTTCCCGAATAATCAAGTTAAGCTTTCACACTGCCTGATCGAAGGAGTATATGCTACAAGTTGCCGGCACCTACCCGAAGGAGTACGCCAAGCAAGGTTTGACCGGTCTGAACTTTTCATCGTCACAAACCTCCCATCCCTCGTCACCAACTGGACCCGCCTGCAGCATACGTTCACATGGCAGTTCGATGTTGTCCAGATAGCTGAGGAGAAATAGTTCATTGTCAGCCTCTGTACTACCATAGTCCGTGTTGAAGGAGAAATAGTTCATTGTTAGCCTCTGTACTACCATAGTCCGTGTTAAAGGAGAAATAGTTCATTGTTAGCCTCTGTACTACCATAGTCTGTGTTAAAGGAGAAATAGTTCATTGTTAGCCTCTGTACTACCATAGTCCGTGTTAAAGGAGAAATAGTTCATTGTTAGCCTCTGTACTACCATAGTCCGTGTTAAAGGAGAAATAGTTCATTGTTAGCCTCTGTACTACCATAGTCCGTGTTAAAGGAGAAATAGTTCATTGTTAGCCTCTCTACTACCATAGTCCGTGTTAAAGGAGAAATAGTTCATTGTTAGCCTCTCTACTACCATAGTCCGTGTGGGAGATCATGTGACAGAGCTGTGTAATTGACCTTTGTGAATACCCGACTGTGGAGTGAATGACTTATGTGCCTACACGACTGTGGTGTGACTGACCTGTGTGCCTACATGACTGTGGGGTGACTAGCCTGTGTGCCTACTGTGGATGACTGTGGTGACTGACCTGTGTGCCAACACGAATGTGGTGTGACTGGCCTGTGTGCCTACCCGAATGTGGTGTGACTGGCCTGTGTGCCTACATGACTGTGGTGACTGACCTGTGTGCCTAAACGACTTTGGTGTGACTGACCTGTGTGCCTACCCGAATGTGGTGTGACTGGCCTGTGTGCCTAAATGACTGTGGTGTGACTGACCTGTGTGCCTACCCGAATGTGGTGTGACTGGCCTGTGTGCCTAAATGACTGTGGTGTGACTGACCTGTGTGCCTAAACAACAGTGGTGTGACTGACCTGTGTGCCTAAACGACTTCGGTGTGACTGACCTGTGTCCCTACATGAATGTGGTGTGACTGACCTGTGTGCCTACCCGAATGTGGTGTGACTGACCTGTGTGCCTAAACGACTGTGGTGTGACTGACCTGTGTGCCTAAACGACTTTGGTGTGACTGACCTGTGTCCCTACCCGAATGTGGTGTGACTGGCCTGTGTGCCTACCCGAATGTGGTGTGACTGGCCTGTGTGCCTAAACAACAGTGGTGTGACTGACCTGTGTGCATACCCGAATGTGGTGTGACTGGCCTGTGTGCCTAAACGACTGTGGTGTGACTGACCTGTGTGCCTACCCGAATGTGGTGTGACTGACCTGTGTGCCTAAACAACTTTGGTGACTGACCTGTGTGCCTACCCGAATGTGGTGTGACTGACCTGTGTGCCTACACGACTGTGGTGTGACTGACCTGTGTGCCTACACTACTGTGGTGTGACCGGCCTGTGTGCCTACACGACAGTGTTGACACTGACCTGTGGTAAATCTCCAGGACTTCCGCTTCCTTGAGTTGCTCCAGCTCCTGGGCTACATCAAAACCCTGTCAACACACAAAAGGTCATCAAAATGTTGCAGACAGGAGATGGACGGAGGGAATGTAAAGCGTGATGGGTGGTTACCTGTGTACAATTTCCTTTTGCCCGCCGTGTGCATGCGTTAATTGTAGTTTGATTGAATTGTGGTGTTGGCTAGTGGTAAAAGCGCCCGCTCGCCATTGCTAAAACCCGAGTTCGATTCCTCATATGAGTACAGAGTGTGACATTCATTCTCGTGTCCCCTCGCCGCGATGAAGCGGGAGTAAAATCAGACACTGAGACAAAAAAAAACATTTTGTACCGAATAAAATAAACTTAACTAAACCTGCAGAGGTTTCCTAAATTCTTTGAAGAGAGTCGTCCTTGGGGTACATATGTGCATTTTCTTCGGCTGAAAATGTCCTGTGACAGTTGTATCAATGTTTTAATAAAAATATTATACAATAAATAAAATCTTTTTTTATCTATTATACGGCCCCCACCACGTGGAGTTACCTCCCTGCTACGCATGCGCAGCCAACCAGGTAAGCACCTAGGCCCGTATCATCATTCCTTCTGCTGAATAAATCAGTGAACAGAATTGCGGGGAGCTGGGCGGCCCTACCCCAAAGGACGACTCTCCTCAAAGAATTAGAAACCTCTGCAGATTTAGTTAATTCATTTTCAGAGAGACCGTCCTAGGGGTACATATATGCATAAACTCAGACTCCCAAAGACCGGAGGCCAGGGAGGAGGGAATTCTGTCAAAGTACACATGAATAGCGATCGTTAGGAATAACAGACGCCACACCACTCATCTGTCACATGTCCCGGAGCTTCAGCGAGAGGCATTATGGGAGGGTAACCGACAGGGAGGATAAGTACTTAGGACCGACCTCGTAGGTTAAGCATAGCAATTTTGCACACAGTGCGAAAATAAACAACCCCACCCACATCATGGTCTATTAGAGAGCACCGTAGGGGGAAAAAACCAACTCACAACCAACCATAATCTCCGGAGAGAAGTGATAGGAGTTAGATCACACAACAGCAGACATATCAATAAAACACAATTGAAAGAAGTGTCAACTAACCAGATAACAAAGACTCACTCGGTCAGGGTGGCAGGACACTGTCAACTGGAGAGAATAAAACGGCCAAAATGCGCACGATCACGTGAATGTGTATCGAGCTGATAGTGCCTGATAAAAAGTGCTAGGCCTGCTCCAAAAAGCGGCAGAGCATATCTCTTCAATGGGTAGTGCCAATGCAAAAGCTTCTGACGTGGCTACTGCCCTGACCGAGTGAGCCTTCAACCCCTCAGGGGGAGGCTTGCCTCTAGCCTGATAAGCAGCACAAATGACCGAAACAAGCCAGCGAGACAGGGTCTGTTTGCTCGCCAGGACCCCAGCCTTCCCGTCACCATAACAGCAGAACAGATGGGTACCCGTACGGATCCCCTGTGTTCGTTTGATATAGGCCTTGAGAGTCTTCCAGACATCCAACGGGTGAGTGCTCCCCGATGTGGAAGGCTGGATAAGAGTAGGAAGTTCGATAGGAGCTGTCACATGGAAAGCGTGATCGACCTTCGGGCGGTAAGTGATAGCAGGTCGAACCCGATCCACGCCAGCTAAAAAGCGCTGCATGAGAGGGTGGTGCTCCAGAACCGGGTGTGAAAAGTGGAAATAGCGGTGAAGTAGCCACGAATGGTCAAAGCCGCCAAGCCTTCTTCCAAACGAGCTTGCAAAAACTCCAATACTCGGACTAAATCCGCAGAAAAGGGATCTGCAATCCCCTTATCTGAACACCAGCGTGCATAGCGGGACCACCTATCCTCATACTGAACGTTTGTCGAATCCCGCCTCGAGGCCAGAATTTTGTCTGCAACTGCTGCAGGAATACTGCGTGCATCGAGGCTAGACCTGACAGAGGCCAAGCCACCCACTGTATTCTTGGATTGGGGTATGGCGCGCCGTTCTGAGTGAGAATGTCCGGTCGCAAAGGTAATAGAACAGGAGGCTGAGCCAGAAACCTGAAGATTACCGGAAACCAGCTGTGACGGCCATAGTGGTGCCAGTAGCACAAGTAGCCGAGCTGGCTGGGGGAACAGCTGGGAGAGGACCCGGGAAATGAGTGGTACCGGCGGGAATGCCCAGAGCACTTTGCCAGTCCAATCCAGCAGGAAGGCGTCGGAAGCCAACGCCCTGTGGTCCGGTATTCGAGAGCAGAACACGGGTATCTGATTCGTCCCGCCAGACGCAAACAGATCCACCTTGAACAATCCGTACAACTGGGAGATAACTCTGAATATGTGCCGGTCGAGCATCCACTCGCGCGGGGCCAGGATCCGGCGAGAGAGAGCGTCTGCTCGCACGTTCTCCAGCCCCGGGAGATAAACAGGAAGCACCTGACAGTCGCACTGGTCGCACCAGAGGAGAAACTCTCACGCCTCCCAAAGGAGCGCTAGGGACACCGTGTCGCCTTGCTTCAGGATATAGATCATGGCCGTACGGTTGTCCAACTGAAGACGAACCACCTGGCCCTGAACATGCTCCCGGAAGCACTCGAAAACCAACCGCACAGCTCTCAGTTCCAAGAGGTTGATGTGAAGGCGGGCTTCAGCTTCGGCTTCGGACCAGAGTCCGGACACCGACAGACTGCCCAGAACACACACCCCCCAGCCCGTGAGGGACGCATTGGTTTGAATTGTAAGAGCTGGCGTCGGGATTTCCAAAGGGATCCCCTTGGAGAGATTCCCCAGATTGGTCCATCACTGAAGGTGAGGAGACAACCACCCGGGGACTGTGAGACACTTTTCCAGATCCTCCGAGTGAGCCCAGACTCGCCAAAGCTTGCTGTATAGGGCGCATCCTCAACCGCGCCCGCCACACTACAGAGATAGTGGCCGCCATATGGCCCAGGAGCCAAGTCCAAGCTGGTGCCTGGGGCTGGGAGAGGAACGAAGACACCATCTCCCGTACTCTGGTGACCCGGTCGGACGACAAGGAGACAAGATCCTCGTGAGTGTGGAACCGTGCCCCGAGAAAAAACAAGTCCTGGGTGGGTACCAGGTCGGATTTCTTGAGGTTTATGATCCACCCCTGTTGGAGTAAACTGTAGTTATATTGTTTTGTGAATATTGTACATACGCATCAGTCACTTTACTCATTTGTTTTTAGCGGTATGTAAAATACAAAAACAATTAACTCCCTTGTATCTTCCGGAAGTACCTGTACATGTGTTTCCCATGCTCAGTTCAAATGTAACCGCCGATGTGCGAAGAAGGTATATTAAACTTTTAACCCCAACTTGGATGCCTTTGTCGTTCCTGAGTGAGAAGCACGATGTCAACAGGTTATGGGCCCAGGCAACGGTTGATGTTCGACGGAGAGGAAGAGAAATATGAACTATGGGAGGTGAAATTCCTCGGACATAGCGCTTTTGCAGAAATTATACTGACGTGATATTACCGACCGAAGAGTGCGCCGGAGAGCCCTCTGCTAGCAAAATGCTGATGCTTTTGCTGAGTTGGTGCAATGCCTGGACGATAGAAGCTTAGCCCCTCGTAATGAGGGATGCTAAGGATGATGGAAGAAGAGCACTGAAAATTTTACGAGAACATTATTTAGGGAGCGGAAAACCACGAGTCATCTCGTTATACACAGAACTCACATCGCTGAAGATGGGAACGGAGTGTACAACTGACTATGTAATCAAAGGCGGAGACTGCCGCTAATTCTTTGAAAATGGCAGGTGAGACAATTAGCGATAGCCTCTTGATAGCAATGGTACTTAAAGGTTTACCTTCTTCATATAAAACCTTTGCTATAGTGGTAACACAAAAAGATAAGACCATGACTTTTTCGAGTTTAAAAACGGCTCTCGCGAAGTTATGAAGAGACTGACAAAATACAATATACACGTAAAGGTGAAGACAGTATTATGACATTCAAGTGTTATTCATGTGGAAAGCCGGACATAGAGCATCAGAGTGTAGAAGAAGGAATCAGCAACAGACACAAGGACCAAAGAAGTATTATCCAAATGGAAACAAGAAACAAGGCCGATGGTGTGACATATGCAAAAGTCCAACACATGACACAAGATTTTGCCGGAAGAGAGATACTGCCAAAAGTGTGAGTAATGAGAAAGAAAATTGTGAGCCAGATCATTCATATTTAGCATTCAAGGTTAGTGTTCAAGATGAAACTGGGGATCTTCTTAACAATCTTCTTGTGGACTGTGGAGCTACAACACATATCATAACTGACAAAGACAAGTTTGTTAATTTTGACGAGACTTTCCGCACATCTGAACACTACATCGAAGTTTGCTGATGGAAGTAGAACTAACGGGATTGTCCAAGCTAAAGGTGAAGCATGTGTTTCTTTGTGTGATGTCGACGCGGTAAGCAACACAAAGTGATTCTGGAGGATGCGTTATATGTTCCATCGCTCAACCAAGACATTTTGTCTGTGCAGGCAGCTACAAACAAGGGAGCAACCATCAATTTTAATCCTGACAGAGCATGTTTGAAGGCTCCAGACGGTACTACCTTCAACATACTAAAACATGGTAAACTTTATTACTTGAACAACACTGTTTCATCTAAATGTGTTACTCATTCAGCCCAAGACTGGCATAAGATTCTTGGACATTGTAACATGAAGGATGTCATGAAACTAGAAGAGGCAGTAAATGGTATGAAGATTGCTGGTAAGGCACAGAATGATGTATGTGACACTTGTGCTAAGGGAAAGATGTTCCAGTGGATAGATAGGAAACCCTGACGAAAGCGAGCAACTAAGACACTTGAGATGGTTCATTGTGACTTAGCGGGACCCATTGAGCCATCAGCTCGTGGTGGTTTTAGATATGTTCTATCATTTGTTGATGATTACTCAAGTACTGTTACCTTGTATCTCCTGAAACAGAAAAGTGACACACCAGCAGCTACAGAAAAATTCTTAGCAGATATGGCACCATTTGGAAAAGTGGTCACCTTGAGGACTGACAACGGGACAGA